TAAATACAGGCTTGCATTGAATAACATTTTATATTTTGATGGCAATAATTAGGATGGCTCTAAAATAAAGAAAATTTAAAATATAAATAAATGTAAACAATGATCCAATATTCATCTGTTAAATTAGCCAGTATCATTTACAATCATCATTCTGCTTACACTTCAGTTTACAAATAGACACAAACATTATGTTCTACATGTTATATTTTTAATGAACAAAATAAACCTTTAAAAATACAAGAATCCAAATTAAACCGAAAGGTCCACTGATTAATCTCGGATACAGATAGAATAATACTTACTCAACGTTTAGGGATTCAATACTTTGATATTAATTATGACATCATCAGGAATCCAAATTAAAGGTATGCAATCAGCTTAATTCTGACAGTTATTTTTGTAGAAATTGCTATTGCACTTTGTAAGTAGAAAATTCAATATATTCACACTATATTATAGTACTGCACAACAAAATATGTTATTGCGCTTTGTGTTAATATGTGCAGTAATTAGTGTGTAAATTTATTTTCACAAAAAGGGTATGGGGTTTTGAACAATCTGTTCTCAATAGTAAGTTGATTCAGAGAAAATATAAATTTCCCATCATCTGAAAGTCCCAGGTCTCTTCAAAAATACAAACAAAACTGTCTGTAACAGCAGGAATGCAGAGACAAAATGACGAGTTCATCTGTTCGTCTGTTTCCATGTAGCTTGCATATCGATTAAAACCGGATAGATGTAAACATATCTCACCATAGTATCTGATTTTCATCCTGCGTCGTAACAATTAAAGAAGCTGAAAAGATAAATATAAATATATTTTAATTAATCAATACATAACAATATAATTCAATCTAGGCAATGGAAAGTAAAAAAATTTAAGTGTTAATTTATTGTGTGCTCACTTTTCCCTTGGTTTCGATGTGGTACAAAGGGCGTAAGAGTTTTATTATTATTATTATTATTTCTTAATAGTTTGGGAATACAAGTACAGTAACGTTCCAAAACATAAAAATAAAAAAAAAATAAACACCATACATTGAAAAAAAGG